ATGTATTTGAGTACTATGATTGGACATACATATACAAGGATGTATTTGAGTACTATGATTGGACATACATATACAAGGATGTATTTGAGTACTATGCATTTGGCACTGATCGGCAAGGGTCGATCTCGGGTGGTAGGGTCATTCCACTTGGCTTATTGGTTCTGTATCTGCCTGGCAAGGCGCCGGTTGTGTGTTCGATTCCTGGATTGGAGACACACATTGAGAAGAAAATACGATCATTGCCACTTAGCCTAGTATTGGTTAGGTATCTGCCTGGCAAGCAATAGGTTGTTTGTTCGATTCTTCAATGGATCATAACACAAACACATTGATAAGTAGTAGCGCCGTTGCCACTGAGCCTATTGGTTAGGTAATATCTGCCTTGCAAGCCGTAGGTCGTGTGTTCGATTCTGAATGGAATATGCACATTGATTAGCAGTAGAGTTACATTGCCACTGCCTATAGTCTATTGGTTAGGTATCTGCCTTGCAAGCCGCAGGTTGCATGTTCGATTCTCGGAGTGAACATGCACATTGATCAGTAGTAGGGCCCTTGTCACATAGCCTATTGGTTAGGTACCTGCCTGGCAAGCCGTAGGTTGAGTGTTCGAGTCTTGGATTAGACATCCGCGTTGATCAAAATGCCATTCAGCGTATCTTGTCTCCAGATTGACAAGGCGGTGACCGCTGCAAGATCGGCTAAAATATCAGCCTCCCAATTGGAAACTAGCGTAAGTTTCAAAAATAATGCTTCGCGAAGTTCGCGTTAGTTTCACAGCAAAGATATTGGTGGGGTCCAAGTTTCGTTGCAAAATATGATCTTTCATTGCAGCTTTAGAGGTCCCCGTAGTTTCGCAGCAAAGAATATTTGCAGGCGCCGGGCGGGGTCACACTTTCGTTGCAAAAATATGAAACAGTTTTCACCTTTGGCAGTAGCCGATGCAGATCCCAGGGGTCGATCCCTTGACCTCAGCTTACCTGTGTACAGTATCTGCACAGTTCCCTGGAGTTGAACCCGTGACCTGCAAGATAGCCAGTGGTAAGTAGGTCGCCGTAGGTTGTAGGCTGTAGGGAGATTCGAACTGTAGACCTGTAAGGTAGGAGTCCAA